CGGCGCCTCGGAGCCCTGTTTGGCTTTGCCTGCGCGGGCAGCAGCATCCAGTGCCCGTCTGCAGCCCTGGCTCAGAGCCAGCATGCAATGGATGCCTCTGCTTGCTCCAGATGCGGTTCTCCCGCAGACCAGAGAACACCCCTCACTGTTAGCAATAACTGTTTTAATACAAATATCGCACAAATATAGGTACCATTCTTCTTTCACTAATTGTAATGGCATTAGATAAGGTGGGAGAGGTGTGTGTCTGGAGGCCTAGCGTCTCAGAAAGGGCTTTGCAAGTAGATTTCGTGAGATGTTTGTGTGCCAGCACGGTTCGTGCTGTCTGTGGGGACCTGTGTGAGCAGCTATTGGCACAGCCCAAGCAGAAATGACACGGTGGAGGTTTTTAACGATACTGATGAGCTATGTGCCAGCCTTGAACTTCAGAAGACCCGTGTCGGGGACCGGGGAGAAAGAGCAGCGCCAGCCCATCGGTACTGTGAACCCGTTATTACGGGAGTGCTTTCCTTCAGCAATGGTGCGGTAAAGGGTGGTGGAGGGGAAGGCTGCTGAAAGCTGTGACCTTCCAGGCAGGATCTGGTTCCCAAACACACATTAAACAGCGGTAGAGTCCCACAGGTGTGGGCATGGGAGAACCTGTTAAATTAAAGCCAAAGCATAACAAGAGATGTTTGCTTTGGAAGATAACGTGCACCTGTTCTGCACACTAAGGGTGAGGAAACTCTCTGAGATGTGTTTTCCTTCGTTACCACAGAAGACCTTTTGCACTGTGAGGCCACATAGCTCCCCCTTTTACCTCCTACCCCTTCCCTTTTAAGACCAGGTATCTCCATCAGCCTTGCCAGCGCCTCCAATCCGACAACCCAGAAGCATGATAAATGGTGGCAATTGCTCCTATTACACCATCAGTATATCTCATTGAGGAGCTCCCCTGACCACACTGCCCAAGTTTGCTGCCTGGACTAATGCTGTTATTAAGATGCCTGGGTCTCCGGTACCTGCAGCCTGGTCAACGGCTGGAGACAAGGGAAGGGCATGCTCCCAGCAAGGCATCCTCCAGTGGGGCTGCTATAATGAGCCAGCTTCGTTATCTGCCTTGCTGCTGGCCCCAGAGAGGCTGCAGGGAGTCTGCTGCTTTATTTTCTTAAATGGGACCAAATGACGGCAGTTAAGAACCTACCAGGAGAAAATGAGCTCTTAAGGCAGCATTTCATGTCTTCCACGCAAGGCTTTATTGGATTAACTTTGTACAAGAACCGCCATACACTTCCCTTGCTGGAGAGACCAATCTAGTTTAATTGTGGGATAAAAACTTTACAGCCATATTTTTGTCACACAGATGACTTGCATAAAAAAATCTTTACATGCATTAATGTCATCTGAGTTTCGGCAAGCCCGCAAAGCAGGCTGTTCCTCAGTGATCTCTGTCTCTATCTTAATGCTGCACTCATCCCAGTGTTCAGTATGGAACTCTCTTGCTTTGGTGCTTATTTTCCACGTTAGGGACAGTGTATTTCCTCTCCCACACACGCCTTGCAAATGTAGAGAATAGCTGTGAAAGAAACCCCCAGCACTACTGTCGCCGTTCAAGCGATGCCTTTTGCCTCTGTGGGTACCTGCAGCTCGGCAGCTCCAGCTGGCAGCTGCAGGAGGGAGGCTTGCATACTTTCAGCTACTTCCCCATTATGTACACATAAAGTTAGTTAATAACTGACTCAAGAGTTCATCTACAAATATATTTTTAAGGCTGCTCTTGGTAAATTTTTCCCCTCTCGGCCACAAAGCTCTTGTTTTCTGTAATTTCCTTCCTATATTTTCCCGTAACTCTAATCTATTTTAACATTAACTTGTTAGTTTTGAAACAGCCTGTGCAACGTGTTAGATTTGAAACAGCCTGTGCATTTTCATCCTCTTCTCCCTTACCTGCTGATTATTTATTTTCTCACTGTCCTCTATCCCTACTCTTGTTGTTTGCAAAAAACGGCTTTTCTCCTCCCTCTCTCTCTTCACAGCTCCCACCATCTGTCTCTCTACAAATACAAAGCTTTAGGGGAAATGATTCACTAGGCTGCTAGCTCATTACTCACACTCTCCCCACCATGGTTTCTGTCCTTGTAGGATGCTCTAACTAATGTAAAGATCAATGAATCCTGGGAATTGTTATTCAATTAAAAAAAAAAAAAAAGCCCCAGCAGTTAAATAGATTGGGCTCTTTGTACTTCCTAAACACCAATGCTTAGTTTTTCTTCCTCACTCTGCTATCATTGTTTTTCAGAAAAGGGTCATTGAAACAGAAGAACAGAAATGATCACTGGACCATTTAATGCAACCTTGTGTATCACATGATGCAGGAGTTACTTAATGAAATTCCCTGGCCCAAACCAAGCAAATCTGTGGTAAATCTAGAGCACATATTTTAGGATGACAGCCAAAATGATGAAAGGAATTTACTATCCAGCCTCGCTAATCATTTTGAACGCTTAACTGCGCTCCCTAATACGCTGCTTTGCAAGCAGCAAAACTGACCCAGCCTCATTCCCTACAGATTTCTCTTCTCCAGCCTTACCCCGGCTGCACACCCCAAAAGCCCTCCCAACGCCCTGGCAGCCCCCCAGGGGCAGGGTGGCCAGCTGTGAGTCCTGTGAGTGCTGGCTGGCCAGCTGCCCACCTCCGGGAAGAGACCTCCGCAGGCCTGAACCCCTGCTGCCTCTCCCTCCGCAGCGTGCAGGTTTGGGGCTAGCTCTTTGCTCAGGTAATTATTTCCATTAAACTCATAGGCACCTAATATCTTTGAGCTTCTACCTATTAAGTGTCATAGAAACTGGCTAGGGGGCTCAGAAACCACTTGAGACAAACTGGTTCACAGTGTTAAAACACTTCAGATATCTTAAAATACCAGAGACAGCCATATTGAGTTGGCAGATAGGCCACAGCATTTCAGGAGGCTTGCTCAACCTGGAGGCTGAGCTCAGTACCGTAGGGCACTCCAGGTGACCCTAAAGCATAGAATCCCAGAATCATTAAGGTTGGAAAAGACCTCTTAAGTTCATCAAGTCCAACCGTCAACCCAATACCACCATCCCCACTAAACCATGTCCTGAAGTGCCATGTCCACATGTCGTTTGAACCCCTCCAGTGATGGTGACTCCATCACTTCCCTGGGCAGCCTGTTCCAATGCCTGGCCACTCTTTCAGTAAATACATTTTTCCTAATATCCAGTCTAATCCTCCCTGGTGCAACTTGAGGCCATTTCCTCTCGTCCTATCGCTAGTTACCTGGGAGAAGAGACCAACACACACCTCACTACAACCTCCTTTCATCGATGTTTAGGTAGCCACATCCCACTCCTTTTGTCTTCACATTGATGACCTTTTAAGAAGGATTTCTGTCATGATTTTAGGCTTGTCACCATGTACTAGGCAGTTATTTTCTTAATTGGAAGCTTAGTTTTTCATTTTATCACACAGAAGATGGTCCCCACCTCCCCACGCACAAGTAGGTAACAAGAAGCAGCACTACCTAATGCAATTTTATTGTGCCTTGTCAGGAGGCTGCTGGCATCACAAGGCATTGGCCTATTTCAGCTGTTGAGCTTTCCTTTAGAAATGGGAGTTGTAAGAAGCAGAGCAAATGCCACAATTAAAGTTGTAAGAGTTGACAACGCTGGATACACCCTTCTCCCAGTTCTCTTAAATGGCTGCAACTCTTTATGCAAAAGCCTGCTAAAGGAAAATCTGAGTCTATCTGCAATGTGGTTCTTCAGTTGTTCGTCATGAGCACCACGAAGCACGTCCTGTATAAGCACACCACACTGGCACCACCTGTATGGAAAGCTAATGAAATCATTCGGGTAATGTAAGAGGAGTATCAGCTTCGGGGCTAATTTACTTTTCAGACTACCAAACACGTGTGCTTTTTTTGTAAAGCTGTATTTGGGTCATTCTGTAAGAAATAATAAAGCTGAGGAGGATCATGGAAACAGCCTGCATTGAGCAGGCACGAAGTGCTCTGTGTCAGACCGGGACATTCTTGTACAACTAGTCTAAAGAATAAAGGCTGCAGAATTTTAAGCCAATAGGGTCCACTGTTAGTAAGGTTAAGGCAGTTTTAAAAAAAGAACCCTCACCAAAGTCGTACTTATGTGCTCTGTGAAAAAAAAGTTTGAATTTTAGCAGATGGGATGTTGTTGAGCCTTCCTGGTTGCCAACACCCTGTGGCTCTCCAACATCTTTGATTATTTTATTGTTCCATACTGCATACAAGTTGTAGGAGTCAATGTTATTTCTCTTAACAATCGCTGGCTTTCCAAATGCCAGCTGTCCTTTGACACGCTCTGTTTCAAATAAGGACTGAAGAACAGGAATGAAGCTAAAGGCCTGCTATAAAAAATACTGCAGCGTTCCGTTGAACTGACAGCACACACATAGTCATGCATTTAGCTCTCCTTTTGTGGACTATTGCTGCAACACGCTGAAGGTGTTAGGGGCTGAGCTGGAAGGAAATGGAACTCCAGAGATTTGAGATCTGAGAGTCCTCTAATTGAAGACAGTGTCTTTATGTAAGACCGGCTAAGGGAAACTTGCATTACTCCACGGTTTACCATTCCTCCATTGTTCCCAGCAATAATAAAAGCTGATGCAATATATAAGGTAGCCTTACAAAAGGCAGATATATTTAATAGTGTATATACAAATCAACTGTTCGATAATGCTATACAAGGCAGGAATATCTTTAAAGAAACCCTGAGCAAAAAGGAGGATGTAATTTTTATTTTACTCTTATTGCGACTCTTATTTCTGCTATTTGTTTGCTATATTGACTAATAAAAGAATATGTTAAAAACAGATGTCAAAATAAAACTGGGCATTCTTTCCATTTGCAGCTTATTTAAAAATCTAGAGAAAAAGAGTTCTGCCTCATCAGCTTCAGAAATAGGTGTTTAACATGGTAGAGAACAAGCCGAGCCTGAGTTACCCAAGACAACTAATTCCTGTAGCAGAAAGAGCCATCTGGAAGAGTGTTGGCCCCCTGCCAAGAACAACCCTTTAACAACTGCTTGTCGTGCACTTTAAGTAATAACCTTCATAACGGCACAACCTGGAGTGTTGGTAAAGGTCCTATTGGAGGAGCAACGTATTCCTCCTCCCTCAGTAACCGCAAAAGGATGTTCTTCTTATTCTTTGGCCAGTTATAAATGTGAGTGTTCTGCAGCCAGGTGGGCACGTGTTCCTGCAAAACAAGAAAAAAAAAAGTGAAATCCCATAAATCCTCCTGAATCTGTACCAGAACTACGCAGATTCCATCAGACCCTGCCAAGCAAGATTTCATTTTGTCTGTTGTAGGCACTTCCCGTAACAACAAAAAATTTTAATTTGGCTTCAGGGTTGTATTTGGGTTCCTAAATAAATGAACTTCGTGTGATCTCACAGCTTGCCTGTCTCTCTTTCTTTTCTGCCATCACGTTGGCTAATATCACCATGTTTCAAAGGGAGTCTCAATGATCTCAATGACAGGTGTCTAAAGGCTTGTGAAAATAAACATTGAGAAGAGAAGGGAGACATTTCAGTGCCCCTACCAGGGAAAGCTACCTTAGTAGTTGCTGAAGGATCCACACAGCATGTTCAACCTTGAGATGAGAATCAATAGGGAAA